GGTCATCACTGCCTTGGGTAATGTCTTTTAATGAATTGTTCTTCTGCTGGATGTGGACCCAAAGGACTTCTTATCATGAAGGGCCCCATCCTGAAGACCTTAATAAATCACTCATGGTGCACAGCAGGCCTGTTGTGGGACACGGAGGGGATCTCTCTTCGCTGAATCACTTTCCTGCAGTCCACTAGGCTGGCATCCTTTCTTTTTCCTGGTTGGCCTGTCTGCCCTGACATCTAAACAAATGACCTCTCCCCACTTAACATTAGTGAGAGGAGCAAAGGTCTTTAACCTCAGGGCTCCAAACGCTGACCACCTGGGTCAAGGTTACTCAAGAGGTGACCCAGAGCCCCTGGAAGCTAGTTTAACTGCTGATTCTTGGTCCTGCCCTAGATCTATGAGTGAAAATCTTTGGAGATAAGGCCCTGGAATCTACGTGTTTTTTTTTTTTTTTTAAACAATTCTCAGAGGACATTCTTATGAACATCAAAATCAGACAACTGTCCAAACTCTTTTATCACCTTAGCATCCTGTGTTGATTTATTTTATTCCTCTTGAAGCACAATGGATGGACACGTCTTTCCTTTCCAGGGGACTGGCCTGTTCTGTGCTTCCAGCCCCGCTCGAGCTCCCGCCGTTCACTGGAGGGAGCCTGGGGAGTAGGGAGTAGTCCACGTCCAAGTCAGCTGGGGATTTTCCTCAGAGCTTTCCAGAAGCATGACACGCACATCTGAATTACGGCCGCCGTGGAATAGGGGCCCCTTGGTGCAACCGAGCTCAATGTTGAGGGTGGAGTCCAGGGCTTGGAGCAGCTGCTGGGAAGAGCGAGGTGTGGTCAGACAAAACAAGCAGGGCCTGGAAGAGACTGTGGACTTCACTTCCCTAGAGAAGTGGGCAGGAAGTCCAGTCTGGTCCGGGCTGGGGACCTGGGTGATCTCCCCACTCTGGGCTGCCCATACCTTGTGTTTCCCCCTTCTGCCCCATTGTCACCCATCTCAACACCCATGGGCCCATCCGGACAGGTCCCTCCCTTATCCCCTGTCCCCTCCCACTGGGGGTCCAACTCCCTCTCCTCTGAGATGGTTTTACCTGAATCGGCCACACCCATGACAGCTGCTGGGACTCGAAGATGCATCTGGTGGCTCCCTAGCTTGAGAGCCTTGAAGCTATCTTCCCTCACCACTCCAGTTCCCTCTCCTCCTCCTCCATTATTTCACTCCCCCTCTTTGCTCTGGCTGTGTCTCTTTTTTGCCCTTCCTGCCTTAATAGATTGAAACCGACATGTTCCGGCTCCTTGTGGTCCTGGTAAATAGCTCTTAATGTGGCTGTGGTCGATGGGGAGAAGGGGGTGGTGAGTGTGTTGTGTGGCACAGGGGACACGGGCATGTTCCTTCGTCTCTGATGGGAGCAGCAGGTATTCGTGCCTCGTGGGTCATGCTGGTGGGGCGCTAGAGTTTCAGTCGAACCTTCCTGGGAGCTGATAGACCTGAGACGGGCCTGGGTGTCCTCTCTTAATTTGAAAAGGAAGACGACCCATTGAAAGTGTAGAATCGCCTGGCGCATGCTGCCAGCCATGGGCGTCAGGAGCAGCCCTTCTTTGAGGACAGAAATAGACATTTCCATTTGTGCTTAGCAAATAGGATTCAATTAAACAGTTTCTACTTCTAAGATTTTCTTACTAAGCCCCAGAGGCCTGGCAGTTATTATCCTGTTGTTGTTCCTGCAAACAGTAGCCCACGTTGGGGTAAATGACATGACAGAAGAAGTTTAATATTGGCATTTTCAAAGTTGATGGAGAGTGGGGTTGGCCCAGATGAGCCAAGATATCGGGTATTGGTGATCAGTGTGAATTCTCCCTTTCTGTCTTGGGAGATGCTTTCTTATCTCTCTTGCCAAAAACTCTTGTTTGGTGGACCCTAGGGAGATCCTGGAGTGGGTGTGCTTTCTCCTAGAAGGAAGGGGCACTCAGGCCTGCACTGGTTTGCACCCAGGGGGTCTCGTTTCCTTCTGAGTGTAAATGAGAGGCTATGGGACACCTCACCTTTCACTCTTCTCCCTGCTTCCTGGACTGGGTACGCATGGACCTGGGAGATTAGGGGTTTTGGGGGATGGAAGAGATCCCTAGTCCAGGAGGAATACTCTGTCATCTCACAATGTGGGCTGCAGAGTGGGGCCAGGGCCCAGGAAGGGGTCAGCAGCTTTCCTTTCCAGGTGAGAAGGAAGGACAGCTCTTCAGATTCCCAGTAAGTGGTGTGAGGGGTCCATCCTTGTGGGAACCTTCCCTTCCCCCGCCCCTGCCCCTTCCCCACCAAGATCTGAGTGGATGAGAACCTTCTGTCTGTAATACTTTGCTCCTCTGGGAACAGCCAGCGGAGCCTCTGTTTTGTGAGTGTAGCATGGAGTCCAGTTCTTTTTTTTTTTTTGGAGTCCGGTTCTTTGAAGGACAGGGCATGAGGGGCAGCCTCTCAACTGCATTTTGGCCCTGTTAGGGATGATCCAGCGCTTACCAGGTGGCGCAGTGGTAAAGAACCTGCCTGCCAACGCAGGAGACACAAGTTTGTTCCCTGGGTCAGGAAGACCCTCTGGAGGAGGAACTGGCCACCTGCTCTAGTGTTCTTGCCTGGAGAATCGCAGGAGCCTGGCAGGTTTCAGTCCATGAGGTTGCAAAGAGTCAGACACAACTGAGCGACTAAACAATAACAACAGGGATGATGCCAGGCGAGTCGGAGAGGCAATGTGTGCACGGCTGCGTCTCAGTAGCGCTAGGGGCAGGCTGTCGGAGAATCAGAACTTTCTCAGCTGAAACCCCATTTTAGTTCTGACCAGCGCCATCCCCATGAGCCTTCGGCTGTGGCAGCACTCTGGCCCAGTGTCACTTGGGGCCTGCTGCTGGCTGAGGTCCCAAAGCCCCGGCGAGAACTGAAGACAGAGAGATGCTTCTGGAGAGTTACGTGAACGGGTAGCGCCTCCAGCCCCCAGGGGGTGTGTGTGCACTATGGGCCTCATCGAGCATCTCAGCGCTAGGGCTCGGGTGACGTCATTTGGCTGGCCTGTGGTTTGTGTGTGTGTGTGTTGATCAGGATGTTCCTGTTTTGCGGTTGTCTGATCACTTGTTTTTGGCCGTGGGCTTCTGTATGAGTGTTTATTTTTAGAGGTTGCCACTTCTGGCCTGAGGGCTAGTCCTTGGGCATGGTAGGAGCTTGTATTTTCTGCAATGTTTGTGGCTTTAAATTTAAGTACTTATTTTGGGGTATTGCTGCTTTTTTTGTGTGTTTTTTCCTAAGGGTTTGTTTGTGTGTGTGAGATAAAACAGTGTAAAATAATAAAAAAGATGTGTGGTCTTTAAAGTTCTGATTTAATTTACTTTTATTTCAAATTTTAAATTAGTCCTGACTTAAAATCCCAGCGTTACCGGGTACTGCATCGTTCAGTTGCGTACGACTCTTTGCGACCCCATGGACTGTAGCTGCCAGACTCCTCTGTCCATGGGGATTCTCCAGGCAAGAAAACTGGAGTGGGTTGCCGTGCCCTCCTCCAGGGGATCTTCCTGACCCAGGGATCGAACACGTATCTCTTACATCTCCTGCACTGGCAGGTGGGCTCTTTACCACTAGCACCACCTGGGAAGCCCTACCAGGCACTATATGTCTGCAAACACATGGTTTCACCTTTCAGAGTCTCAGTTTCTCCATCTTTAAAATAGGCATAACAGCCTCCACCCACAGGATTAGAAATAATGTATGTGTAAATGTAGCAAGGTGTTCCCTGCATGTTAGCTGTTAACATTAGTATTTGTGTGTTTGTATCCACACTCGCTCTTTCTGACTGGGGGTGCCTGTCGGGTGTACTCCACGAGAGCCTGTGTCTGGGTGTTTGATTTGGGTGATTTCTGGTGGGAGAGTGTGCCTCTGGACGTCTTTGTGTCTGGTTTTCTGTGTGTGACTGTTGATGTCTGGGCTGGAGTCTCTGCCGTGTTTGGGAGGGGGCTTTCTTTTCTTGCCAGTTGAGGGCCTGCCTTGGAGTGGGGGAAGGGGAGGGGTGTGTGCGTGTGTATGTGTGTGTGTGTGTGGAGGCTGGAAGCTGGGCTGCTGACTGTACAGGGTGTGAAATCAGAGTTCCTCTGGGCGGGGAAGTTCTTCACTCCTGAGTCAGCCCTTTGGCCTCCCGCCACCCAGCGCTCACTTTTTCCTTTCAGAGAAAGTATTGCTCACGGGGCCCCCCAGAGTATCTGCAGACGAAATGACACAGGGGTCACCCCTCCCTGATGAAGACCTCTGCTTTTGTGTTCTCCATCCCTAAGATGTTCCCTCTACTCTTGGCCCCTGAAGCTCCTTTCCAGAAGCCCCATGGGCCCTGGCATTCAGAGGGAAACTGTTCTCTCTAACACCCATCCTGCTGGCTTTACTGAGCTCCAGCCTGCTCCAGTCCCTCCGGGTCTTTGGGAAGTGAGTGCAATGCCAGAGTCAGGCTTTGAACTGGGGCGTCTTGCCCCCAGGTCTCCTGACTAATCTGGGGCTCTGCTGCCTGGTCTGACCCTGGGTGCTGGGGAGGCTCTGCTCAGAAGCCCTGGGAAGAGGTCCTTTTGTCCTTTCTGCCACTTCGGCTCTATCTCTGAGGGTTGAGAGGATTCCCTTTGGAGATGCTGAAGGTGGCACACAGTGGGGGAATACCCCTATGAGTATATGTGGGAATACCCTATGTGGGAATCCCCTATGTGGGAATACCCACACAGCCCCCATGTGACCCTCCTACTCCACACAGGAGGGTTTAGCTGGCTACCGGTGAGGGGAGGGACCCCAGCGGGAGGGACCCTGCCCAGCCTGGCCAGTCAGCGACCGCCTCCCACTATGTCCATGACCCCTGCTGTATGTTCTGCTCTCCATGGATTCCCTTTGGGGATCCAGGGAAAGGAAGCTCTCAGCTGCTTTCCTGGGGAGAATGGAGGATGTCCCACCTCCCACTGACGTCTGCTCTCTGTCTCTCCTCCGGTCCCTCTCTTGTAGAGGTTGTGGGCCATACCCAGGGACCCCTGGACGGGAGCCTGTATGCCAAGGTGAAGAAGAAGGACTCCTTGCACGGCAGCACCGGGGCTGTCAACGCCACGCGGCCCGTGCTGTCGGCCACCCCCAATCACGTGGAGCACACACTCTCCGTGAGCAGCGACTCGGGCAACTCCACAGCCTCCACCAAGACAGACAAGACCGATGAGCCTGCCCCCGGCCCCGCCAGTGCCCCTGCTGCCCTGAGTCCCGAGGAGAAACGCGAGCTGGACCGCCTGCTCAGTGGCTTCGGCTTGGAGCGGGAGAAGCAAGGCGCCATGTACCACCCTCAGCATCTCCGTTCCCGCCCAGTGGGAGGCCCTGCCGCGCCTTCCTCTGGCCGCCACATCGTCCCGGCCCAGGTTCACGTCAATGGCGGAGCCTTAGCCTCCGAGCGGGAGACGGACATCCTGGACGATGAGCTGCCCAACCAGGATGGGCACAGTGTGGGCAGCATGGGCACCCTGTCCTCCCTGGATGGGGTCACCAACACCAGTGAGGGTGGCTACCCAGAGGCCCTCTCCCCACTGACCAACGGTCTGGACAAGCCCTACCCCATGGAACCTATGGTCAACGGCGGGGGCTACCCCTATGAGTCTGCCAGCCGTGTGGTGCCTGCCCAGGCTGGCCACACAGCCCCCATGAGACCCTCCTACTCCGCACAGGAGGGTTTAGCTGGCTACCAGCGGGAGGGACCCCACCCAGCCTGGCCACAGTCAGCAACCACCTCCCACTATGGCCATGACCCCAATGGTATATTTCGCTCTCAGTCCTTTCCCGAAACGGAGCCCCAGCTGCCCCCAGCTCCAGCCCGTGGTGGGAGCAGCCGGGAGGCTGTGCAGAGGGGCCTGAATTCCTGGCAGCAGCAGCAGCAGCAGCAGCAGCAGCAGCCTCGCCCACCTCCTCGCCAGCAGGAAAGAGCCCACTTGGAGAGCCTCGGGCTCAGCAGGCCCAGCCCCCAGCCACTGGCAGAGCCCCCTGTGTCTGGCCTCCCTGAGTTCCCGCGTGCGGCCTCCCGGCAGGAGATCGAGCAGTCCATCGAGGCCCTCAACATGCTGATGCTCGATCTGGAGCCAGCCACGGCGGGCGCCCCCCTACACAAGTCCCAGAGTGTGCCTGGGGCCTGGCCGGGGGCTTCTCCGCTCTCCTCCCAGCCCTTCTCTGGCTCCTCCTGCCAGTCCCACCCACTGACCCAGTCCAGATCTGGCTACATCCCCAGTGGGCATTCCTTGGGAACCCCTGAGCCAGCCCCCCGGGCCTCCCTGGAGTCCGTTCCCACTGGCAGGCCTTACTCACCTTATGATTATCAGCCATGTTCCACTGGGCCCAACCAAAGTTACCGTCCAAAGAGCCCGGCCACCTCCTCCTCGCCTGCCTTCCTTCCAACCACCCAGAGCTCTCTGGGGCCTCAGCAGCCCCCAGCCTCTCTACCTGGCCTCACCACTCAGCCTCAGCTCCCACCAAAGGAGGTGACTTCAGACCCATCCCGAACTCCAGAGGAGGAACCACTGAACTTGGAGGGGCTGGTGGCCCACCGGGTGGCAGGTAAGAGCCTCAGGGGCTGTGAGTGCTGGGAGTCCCTCTTTATTCCCGCCACACCTTCCCTCTTTGGTCTTGGTTGGCTTTGCCGGAGGAGGGGGGAGCACAGCCATCATGCAGGCACAGCTCTCATGCATCAGTGAGTGCTACTTTGGCCTGGGGAAGAGGCTTTTAGGAACCTACCTGCCACCCATCCCTTCCTGCATTCTGTGCCTGTTAGACCCCAAGCCAGGCCTTGTGGTTCAAAGATCAGTGTCTCAGGAGTTTTCAATCTAGTGAGGAAAGAGGTACACAAACAGATTATTCTAACAGAGTGCAGTGTGTGCTACAACAGAGATGGGGACCAAAGCCCCAGAGCCTGGGTAAGTAAGGCTTACCTCCTAGGACAATCAGGGAAAGCTTCCTGGAGGTGGTGACTCTGGGATTGGAGTACAGATTATTCTAGGCAGAGACGAGATGCTCACTGTAGCTACCTGTAGTGGAGAAGGTGGAAGGGAGGCCTCTGTGGACTCCAGTTCCCTTTTGGGCCCTCCCAGAGGCATAACTATGTCTGAGAGGGTGCCCCAAAGTCCTTGGACTCTATCTGAGTGTTTAACCCTAGTGGGTCCTCTCAGGATATTTATGTCTCCAGGGAGGCCAGGATCCCCCTTCTTGTTCAGCTATCCTTCTAGTCCTTGCTTTAGGACCAGCTCTGTATTGGAAGCAGGCACTGAGAAACAGCTGTCTTTCCTACCAGAGAATGGACTTATCTTTCTGGAGAGAGGAGAGAGAGTGGTGCAACCAGACAGGTTTACTGGGGAATAAAGAGGCAAGAAATGGCAGAGTGTCCAGGCCATGTTGCAAGGAACAGGAAGGACTCCCTACCTTCACTTTGGCCTAAGCCTATAACCATTCCATGGGGATAGCTAAACTGAGTGGGAAATCCTATGAGCTGGTTTTGTCATAGGGGTGAAGCCCAGGCAGGGGTGGACCAGAGCCTGGAGTGAGGGGAACCTTGTGCCAAGCCCCTCAGATAGGGTGGTGGGAGGTCAGAGGAGGAGCCTGGGCAGCTGATTCTGCCTTCTGTTCCTTTTCCTAAATTTAGGGGAAGCTGAGTCAGCATGCCAGCTGCAAGGAGGGAGACGCCCTTCTTGGGGATGGGCAGTGGGTTTAGGAAGGGAGCTGGGGCCAGGCCAGTTGCCTTTTGGGCTGAGTCCAGGATATGGGGGCAGGGATGCCCTGCTTCTGTACTTCAGAGCAGAACATAGCCCCCAGTCCAACTATGGGTAACTTGAAGTTGGCCATAATGGCAGCATTCACACTATAGAAATTGGCAATCAAGGGATTCACCTTCTCTGGACATCTGGTCTAGCAACACATCATCAGCTTTATCCAAGGGCCAAAGGATAAGATGAGTAGCTCTATAACCCGAGAGGCAAAATGCTCCATGGGGTGGTCCCCAAGGGACCGCCATCTTCTATTTTTGTCCACATCTGGGCCAGTAAGATAAGGAATACTTGGTTTGTCAGTAGAAACCATTTTCTTCCTGGTTTTGTTGAAGGGAAAGGAATGGGCTCTCTCAATATTTTACAGAGTTGGGGTGGTGGCCTGAGGAATAGTGACACGCTAGTCTAGTGATTCTAATGATGGGCAGTATCCAAAGAAATTTACCCTGACTCTGTGACTGGACTGTTCTCAGGTGTCTCTAGAGGTAGAGATTTCAATGCATTTTGGAAATCAGATGTGGCTCTTATCCTTAAAGAGTCTAGAGTTTAGTAAGGGGGAAAAAAGAACTAGAACTTTAAAATGAAGTTATTTTTAATAAGAGAAGAGAAGTATGAAGTATCTAAAGAGGGTAGGATGAATTTCCTTCCCCTCCCAGAACCCTTCCGTGTAGCTCAAGAGGAAGCCATACTTTAATGGCCTCAGAAAGATGTCCATCTCACAGTGGCTCTCCGCTCAGCCTTCTCTCTCCTACAAGTTTAAAGGTCTTGCCTGTCAACCTCCATATCCTGTAGCTGCTCAGGTTTTGGCTGCCAAGAAGTCATAGGGATGGAGGGATATTATTGGTACAGTATCTGTGTCCCCCAACCCTGCTGTCATCTCCTCCACCAGCTCTGAGTGACTCCATCAGGAAAAGGGCTAAGATGTATAGAAGGGACAGTTATATTTGGTCTCTAGGGCTTCAAAAGGTCTCTTTGGTCCATGCCCTGTCATCACCAGTATTTCTTAGGTCAGCAGATCTTGCTTGCACAACTTCTTCAGTGGCCCTTCAGGATATCTGCAGTGCTTGTGTAGATAAAGATGCACCAGCAGGATTAATTTGTAAAACAGTCTAGGAACCAAGGGATAGACTTTCAGCACTACCTCTTCCCATTCTGTATTCTTCTGCAAGGAGCTGGAATATAAGCTTCCACATGAGTAACTTAGGAAGCTCAGATCTGAGGAGAACCTCCATAGGGTCGTGAATATGATCTAGTTTCTTCTGGCTTTTCACCCTCAGGTCTGCCTTTTCCTCCTTGGCTGTCCTCTGTACTTCAATTCTGTGTCCTTGGTTCATGCCACTTTGATCCAGCTACTACTTATGTCTTATTTCAGCTTAGCTCTCAGAGAATTTTAGAGTATTCTTAACTTGATAAAGAGTAGATACCAGAAACCTGTAGCACATATCACACTTCCTTGTGCAACATTAGAAGCAGTCCCATTACACCAGGGGTAAAATAAAGATGATTGTTATCACTGCTATTATCTAACATTGTATTGGATATCCTAGCCAGTGCAATAAGACACGAAAAAGAAATAAGAGTCAGAGTTGTTGAGTCCAACAGGTTTTCATATGATCCTGATTCTGGGCCTGGACTGATCTCAGGTGTCCCTAAAAGTAGAGATTTCAATGCATGTTACGAATGTGGATCTTATCCCTAAGGAGTCTAGAGTTTAGTAAGGGGAAGAAGAACTAGAACTTTAAAATAAAGTTATTTGTAATAAGAGAAATATGAAGAAAAGTTCTGTGGGAATGAAGACAAAGAAAGATCACTATCAGCTAGAGAGACTGGGGAGGGCCTGTGTTGTGTATATATTTTAAACAGAACCTTAGAAGATAGGATTTTGAAATGGGTGAGATTATTGGAAAAGGAAGGCTCATAATGAAGCTAGGAGGGCATAGGATGTGTTTGAAGAATGGAGTGGATTGAGAGCCAAATAGGCTGTGTAATAGAGAGTCAATAAAGGCTTGGAGCTTGGGGCTTGCATCTGGTTGGTTTTAAATGCCAGACAGAGAAGCTGGAATCTTAGCTAGTGGAAGTGAAGGAAGCCATTACTGTGTTTTAGGAAAGGATGCCATGATCAGAGCTGTAGTTTAGGAAGATGTATCTGGTGGGTCTGGGGAGGAAGGATACAAAAGGGGAGAGACTTTGAGCTGGTAGATGCTAGGAGCTTATTGGCTGACCTAGGTGATGGGGACTGAATTAGGGTGCTGACCTTGGAAATGAAAAAGAAGAGATGGGGGCAGGGATGCTGTGGTGGGATGAGAACCAACGCATTTACAAGTTGATTGGGTGTAGTAAGTGAAGAGGAGGGGGATATCAAAGATAATTCTGAGGCTCCATAAATAGAAACAGAATGATCATTCTGTTAACAAGCCAGAAGTTAAGAGGAGGAGCAGTTTGGTGTAAGATGAAGATCTCAGTATTGGTTATGTTGAATCTGAGTAACAGTCGAGGCTCCAGATAGAGATGTATGGAAGGCAATTGGACATTTGGAATTGGACCTGAAGAGCAGAAGGAGCTATAGATTGGGGAGTCATCCTCACAAAGATAAAGGTTAAAGCTTTGGGCGTGGATGAAATCTCTATATATCAGAAGGCATGGAGAGAAAAGAACTTAGAATGAAATGGCCGTGTGGGAATGGAAGGCATGCAGGGCCTTGAGAGTGAATGTTCAGGGCAGCGAGAAGACCCCGAGACAGTGGGTCATCATAGAAGTCAGAATAGTAAAGGGTTCCCAGGAGGTTAGCAATGTCACTGTGGCATGATCATGAAAAGGAAGACTCAGGAAAATTCACTGGGCTTGCCAATTAGGTGGCCTCGGGGGTTTTCAAAGGCATATTTTCAGTAGAGTGGTGGTGACAAAAGCCAGACTTAGGGATTGAGGAGTGAGAGATGAGAGAGTGCAGATAGTGCATCATCTATCTTTTTGAAAGGTTTTGTGATAAAAGGGAAGAGGGTGGCAGCTAAAGAGGGTAGCAAGATACCGAGAACTTCTTTGTGTGAATATAGGAGCCAGGAGAGTTTTTAGAGGCGGAAGAGAGAGAGGTTGAGTATGGAGGGAAGAGTGAGAAGAGAAAGATACAAGAGAGTGAGAAAGAAACTGATAGAACAGGTCTCTTTGGAGGTAAAGAGGGGGTAGGCTTAGGAGTAGATACCTGGGTAGATAATTTAGGCTCAACCAGGAGGTAAGGTAGGGGTTTCCCAGGTGGCACAATTGGTAAAGAATCCACCTGCCAATGCAGGAGATGCAAGAGATGCAGGTTTGATCTCTGGGTCAGGAAGATTGTCTGGAGTAGGAAATGGCAACCCACTCCAGTATTCTTGCCTAGAGAATTCCGTGGACAGAGGAGCCTGGCAGGCTACAGCCTGTGGGATTGAAAAGTGTCAGATACAACTGAGCATACATCTGAGCTGAGGAGGTAAGGTACCTCTTCATGAAATAAGAATAGAGAATGGATACAGATATAGTGAAATATTGGTGTCAACTTTTGAGAGCTTGAATTAAGAACTCAGTTTTTATATTTCATAATGGAAAAAGGAGACGAGATCAAGGCCCATTCTGTCATTCATTCAACATGTGCTCCTTGTCTATGCTACATGTTAGCCTAGGCTCTGGAGAAATGGTGGTAAACAAAGAAGATAAAGTTTTTTTTTTTTAAGAGATGGAAATGGACAATAAACCAATAAGCAAATACACGTATTATTTGTCAGATGGGCGATAAGTGCCATAACAGTGAAATGCCAGTGAAGTGCAGTGAAA